AGAGATCTCAGCCCAAAGGCCGGGCCACTTGGCCGCTGAGTGGCTCTCTCCTGCTCTTGATCCTTGATGAAGAGACCCTGGTATGGCTACGGCACGTGAAACAGCACTTCTTAAATAATTTGTTTAGTTTCATTCACAGCTCAATAGGACTTGCTGAAAGCCAGATTGCCACTAAGGGAAACTTGGACGTGCCCAGACAGTCACAGGTGACGATACACGTAGAGTCAAGCACAGATCTGTCCCTTGCCCCTGAAGACAGCACCAAGTGGACTTTGGTTCATGCTGACAGAAAAAATGAACGCATCTCTTTAACATGTTATTATCTGATATAGGTCAGATACGTTTGAAATGAGCCTCATCGAATCATGAGTACTACACACATGCACACAACTGTATGGTCGGGCAGTGCACACTTAGAAATTCACACTCCAATTTTAAAGGTAAAAGGTAAAATATTTAATTATTTATTGATGGATTTAAAAAAAGACACAGGAACCGACAGGATACCATTATCTCCTTAAGGATAAAGGTTTGAACATCTTAATGCTGTAGCAGAAACAACTGGAAAGTGAAATGAAAACTTACGTTTACACAAAATCTGTATCGTATATACATATTTGATTTGAATGTACATAACAGATTATTGTAATTGTCAAACCTGGAAACAACAGGAATTTGGTGGAAACTACTTACAGAAAAAAGAACCAAAATACTGACCCATGAACCACCTGCATGAATCTCCACATGAGTCATGTGACAGTGCAAGAACACAAGACTATCTCCAAGTTGATTCATTCATAACATTCTGGAAAAGCCAAAACTATGGAAAGAACATATCAGTGTTTCAAATAGGGACCTGGGGGGGTGGAAGGAGGGTTGGCTCAAAAGGATCAGGGAAATTTGGAAGGCGGTAGACAGTGTTCTGCAATCTTGATTGTGGTGATGGGTACACGACCGATCGATGCACTTTTCAAAACTTGAAGAGCTAACACTAAAAGTGATTTTACTGTATCTATATACCTTAAAACTGAAGAAAAAAAAAGAATGGAACAAAGTAAATCCACAGCATATGGGACTTTAAAACACGTGAATATCATGTCAGTTCCTTAACCATTACTGTTGACCCTCCAACAACACAGATTTGAACTGTGCGGGCCATTATATGTGGGTTTTCAATAAAAGTTACACTGAGTGACCTGGCTCTCTTCCTACCTCCTCCCTCCACCTCTTCCGCTCAGCAAGACCACACCCTCGTTCTCTTCTCTCCTCCTCGAGGCTCTCAGTGTAGCGACGAAGAGTGATTGAGTACCTGTCGATTCCCGAATCACTGTCGCACTTAATGAGCAGTAAATATATTTTCTCAGCAGGCACAGAGGCTCCACGTCTGTGGATGCTCAACACTTGGACCCAGGTGGGAGACAATTTGTTTGAGGCTAGGAATTGCAAGACTGAGGGCTGGGCATAGAAGTGGGAACAAGCAACAACAAAAACGATGGGCTGACACACATGTGTAGGTGCCCAGCTGACTGGGGAAGGCTGAGGCCAGGGAACGATCACTTGAGCCCAGGGGTTCAAGGTTCAGTGACTATGATCGCGCCATCGCACTGCCAGCCTGGGTGACTGTTTTCTTCTTCCTTGTTTTTTTGGTTTTTTCTTTTTTTTTTTGCACAGAGTCTCGCTTGTGTGTGCCGCAGGCAGTGTGAGTGCGCCGTGCGTACGCTAGCCGAACACCTCAAGACTCCTGGGCTCGAGCGATCTGTCTGTCTCAGCTCAGTACGTGATAAGGCAGGTGGCGCCAACCAGGCCGGCTAATTTTTATATATAATAGCAGTTGGCAATTAGTTTCTTTTCTATTTAGAGTAGACGGGGTCTTGCTCTTGCTCAGGCTGGTTTTGAACTCCTGACTTGAGCAATCGCTCCCTCGGCTCCCAGAGAGCTAGGATTACAGGCGTGGAGGCCACGGCGCCCGGCTGGATTTTCTTGTGTTGTGTTGTTTGTGAGACAGATCTTGCCTTGTTGCCCAGGTTAGAGTGGGTGCCGTGCGTCAGCCGTAGCAGCAGGGAACCTCACACTCCTGGCTCGAAGCGACTACGTGCCGTCAGCCGGTCGGCCGGGAGGGGTAGCTGGGACTACAGGCATTGGAGCCATGCCGGCTAAGATTTTGTTCTATATAGTACTTGTTGCATTAATTTCTTCTATTTATAGTAGAAACGAGGTCTTGCCTCTTGCTAGGCTGGTTTTTGAACTCCTGACTTGAGCGATCCGCCTGCCTCGGCTCCCAGAGTGCTAGGATTACAGGCGTGAGCACCAGCCGCTGTGATTTTCTTAATAACACTTTCTTTCTCTAGCTTACTTTATGCTAAGACTATAGTACATAAAATATAACATGCAAAATATGTGTTAATCAACTGTTTTATGTTATTGGTAAGCTTCTAATCAAACGTGGGCTATTAGTGGTTAAGTTTTAAGAGGAGTCAAAATTTATCTGTGGATT